ATTCAAGACAGCATAAAACCTTAATGTTATTCTAGAGAAGCAATGGAAATACATTGGGAAGATGAAAATGCTGACAGAAGCAAAATAAAAATTAGTTAACTATAAAGAATTTTCACTATCAATTGCTAAGAAGACTAACAACCAACGGTAGACTTGATCACTTGTTATTCACACTTCAAAGCAAAAAGAATAAGAAAAAGGCTTGATAGTTACTATGCCCACATTCTCCCAGAATAGGTTCAATACACAGTATGGTTGCATTCTACCAGAAACCCCCAAAGCATAAATGAAATAATCAACACATTCTTATGTAAACAAGAACCAGCAAGTTTGTGCCAAGGGAATGAAAAAAAGTTTGGATCTTTAAATCAAAAGCAGCACATTCCATGGATCCATAGAGCAGGAACTGAAAAACTAAACCGTAACCTCCCCCGGAATCAGCCACTATTACTCTAACATTTAAACCAAGCACTAAAAATGCTTTTAAAAAACTTAAAGTAAATCCACTAAATTCATGAAAGCCTAACCATTATAATGTCAAATTAAAAAACCCCACAATCAGAAACGACATTTAAGAAATATATATACCAACCACAGAAAGAACCCACATGAACCATTTCCCAGTAGAATAATAAGCATGATTCGAATGAGGCAGAAAACGTATTTAACGAAGTAATGAAAAGCGAAACCAAGGATGATCTGTGAGAAGAGGAGCTAGAAAATACCTGTAATGGAAATGCTGAAGCTTGCAGAAGGAGAGTGAGGGAGAATGGATGAACAACAGGTAGCTCACAAACAAAGGGAGATACTGGAAGCTACCTGGGAACTGTGAACGTATTTGTCTTCCACATGGAGAGGACGTTGGAGGCCCGGTTCTGTTTTTATGGCTTTTGAAATTAAAGGTGTTTATTTATTTAAGTCGCTGACTTATGTCCTTAAACTTTTCAAATATTCCTTTTGGTCCTTTAAATTCTTTTTAACCTTTATCCTTTTTTATTTTTGATTTGGATTGATAATTCCTCTCCTTCCATCTCTACCTACGTATTATTTAATATAAATCTAAAATTTCTTTCTTTTATTAAAAACGATTAAATGCTAATTTTGATCCTCAACTTTAAGATTTTGCATAATTTTCATTTTTCAACTTTTTAATATATTTTTTTGGTTTTTTAATTATGAAAATATACTTTTTTTGCCCTTATGTTAGTTAATCCATTAATTTTGTTTAAATATACGTATTTTTATTCCTCAACTTTAAATTAAAAGATTAAAAATATACATATTTAGATAAATTTAATAGACTAATTAATGAAAGGACTAAAAAATATATTTTTCAAAATTAAGGGATCAAAAAGTGCACAAAAAAATTAAAAAACAAAATTTATGCAAAACCATAAAGTGGAGGGATCAAAATTAACATTTTAACTTTAAAAAAATTGTCATTGTACTGTTTTAGACTTTAAATTTGAACCAAACTTGTTATTTTTCTAATTCAATTTATTGTTTTTCTCAAAAAAGAAACTTTGAGAAATACTACTAGATTTGGATGCTTTTCAAATTTCAATATGCATGGAGAAATTCTTGCATCTATGATTTAATCAAATTTGGGAATTTCCATGCTCCTCTCCACTACGCACAAGGCATGCCCCTTGAACATCTACTAGCTTTCCATTAAACAACAAAGAAGCAAAATCTCCATTTCATGCTTTTCTGAAGCTAAACCAACCTCAACCCCACCATTCCCATCTCTACTCTCAGCCAATGATATAGCTCCAGACCTATCTATTGACACAATCTCTACCTTTTTAGGCCTTCCCCAACCAAAATCCGAACCATAAACATATATAGAATCGAGGCGACCCTGCAACTGTGGTTTTTTCCGATCCTTCCTTAACAAAATCCCACTAGTCAATCAACTTGTGTTCTACTCCTTCAAAAGCCAACCCCTTTCTAATCCTTCGATATCTTGACTTAACTTCTCTGAAATAAAGGCTAATCCATTTTCTTCAAGAAAATCTCTTGCTTTTCCCTCTTGACCGTGCGTGCCAACACAATTTCCGAAATAATTTCTCGATACAGGAGGGTCTAAATGTGCCCTGTAATCTACTGAAAACCTCCAAACAACAATTCTATCGCTTTCTCCTCCTCTTGTTTTTACCATACAAGTTATTGAATGTGCTAGTGTAAGCACAAATGTTGATAGATGAGTTGGCTTTTTGCTATCCCATTTAGACAGAACTGTTTCTTTAAGATTCTGGATGTTTTCACGAGTGAATTGAAATGTAGCTCGGACCAAATTATGAGGCAAAACTTCTAGATTTTGGGAAGCCTTCAGGCTTTTTTGCTTGGGCCTGAATCCGAGGATGTAAAAGCTAACTATTGGCTCAAGTAAACATTTGAAGCTCAGTAGGATCTTTGATAATACTCCTATCAAAAAATTGACTTAACTCAATTGGTAATATCACTGTTTTGAAATTTGGTCCGATCTGGTTGATTCAACTTATTGAATCAGACTTAGTTTTAAAAGCAAACCAAGTTATGATAATAACTCGTTTTAGGTCAAATTCGATTAAAACCCATTTAAGCCAGATCAAACCTACTCATACCTGGTGAAATTTGTTCAAACTTGATCAACTTAGTTGACCTGATCGATTTTATTTTTTTTAACACTTTCATTTTTTTTCATTTTTTTGTAATTTTTATATTTCTATTTATTTAATTAATATACAATATAATAATTAAATTGTAAAATCTATTTAAAATCAAATTACAATTAATGAATGAAAAATTTTAAATTAATTTAAATATAATTTGAACTTAAATTATTATTTCAAATTAGAGAGTGATTTTAACTTAAAATCAAATCAATTTGCTTTGAAAGTTAAATAAATAACTATTTTATATAATCAAATGAATGAAATCAATTTGAAATTAAAACTAATCTTAAGTTATTTTGATAAAATAAATGAAATCCTTTTAAAATTAAAATTAATCTTAAGTAATTTTGGAAATAAAATCAATATAAGGAAAAAATAATTTTATAATTAATTTGATATCAATATTTTAAATGCCTATTAAAGAAAAATATATTGTTTATTTTAATAAATTTAATGAATGAAATTAATTTCAAATTAATAAAATTTGAAAATAAAGTCTTAAAAGTTAATAATTACTTTGATCAATAAATATAAAAATGATTTTAATTAATTTTAAAAATAAAATTAATTGAAATAAAAATAATTTATAATTAATAAAATGAATTAAATGATATTTATTAAGTTCACTTATTGATTTAATTGGTTAAAGTAATTCAACCAATTAGATCAGATTCGATGGCCGCATCGTGCCAATTTCCGGGTTGGACTTTAAAACATTGGGTAATATTGAAGGGTTTTCTTGGTCACATTGTTTGCAGATATAAGCCCAAGACTTTACAAACATGGTCGCACTTTTACCTGTAAGAAAAAAGATCAGCCCAAAATTTTAGCTATATATGTTAAGCAAGAAAAATCTCACATTGGGTCAACAAAGCAGAACTCTGTGAGGTTAAATATAATGTGTTGTATTGAATTTAATAAATAAAAAATATTTTGCAGATTAAATTATATAATATAAAATATAAAATATTAGATAGAATAGTGGTTAATATTAAGAATTATCTTATATTTAATAATTTTTTTAATTTTAATTTTTTTTATAATTTAATATAATTTAACCTACAAAACAATCAATTTTCATTATTCGGAATTGTAATTGTTTTTAAAATAAACTTAACATTACCATCAAGTATTGAATGGTGGGTTGTTCTGCCAATACAAAACCCTTTATTGGGAAATTGTGTGATTTGCGAAGCCATGACTGCAGCAGAATTGTCGGACACCATCAATTGAGGTACCAAAGGATGTAACTCGATAGCTTCATGTGCTTCGTACCCGGCGAGGCGATTGAAGTACCGTCAGACTCTGCAACCGTGAACTAAACACCATCTCGAGCGGTGTAGTGGATGATTGGCTTTGCAACGTTTGGTGAGGGCCAAGTAAGGTTGCCAGCGAGAGGGAGAGAGTGGGAGAGAGCAAGAGACACAGAATTCTTGAGTTTGGGGAGAATAACAGGTTGAAGTAGTGAGGGTCTGATCGAGTTAGGGAGGTGATATATAGAAGAACGGGCGCTCGACAGGAGCCAACTTGAACCAAAATGTGTCGAAGAAGGTAAGTGGGAGAGAGAACTCGACGGCAGAGGTGGGAGAGTGAGAGGATGGAGTCATGAACCTTAGAGACTTCAAGAATTCTCAATGATGCCATAAATTAATGCGCAGAAAACAGAAGGTACAGTTTGGGTGCTCTCTTGCATTATATGACGGCTTTTTAAAGAATAGGAGGCTGACACACAGCGGCACAGAAGCCTCTGCACGTGTGGTGTTGGTGGAGGAATATATTCCATGCTGTCTCCATGAAATTGAGAGAGGG